GACAGAGTCTCACTTTGTTGTCCAGGCTAGAGTGAGTGCCATAGCATCAGCCTAGCTCACAGCAACCTCAAACTCCTGGGCTCAAGAATCCTCCTGCCTCAGCCTCCTGAGTAGCTGGATACAGGCATGTGCCACATGCCCGGCTAAGTTTTCTACATATATTAGTGGCCTTAATTTCTTTCTATTTATAGTAGAGAACGGGTTCTCGCTCATTGCTCAGGCGGGTTTCGAACTCCTGACCTTGAGCAATCTGCCAGCTCGCCTCCCAGAGTGCTAGGATTACAGGCATGAGCCACCGCACCCGGCCAAGAAGTGTCCATGTTTTAAAAAGGGCGAGGAAAGTCTGGAATTGCTATATGGAAGGAAATGTTATTAGCTTCCTGTGGCCACTAGGGCAAATGACCACAAATTTGGTGCCTTAAAACAACAGAGGGGGGAAATGGGCATTTACTGAAACTTTAAAATTTGTACCCCCATAATATGCCGAAATAAAAAAAAAAAAAAAAAAAAACCAGAAATTCATTTTCTCACATTTCTGGAGCACAAAAGAGCAAAATCAATTTCACCGGGCTGAAATAAAGGTGTCATCAAGACTCCCTTGTGCCAGGCACGGTGGCTCACGCTTGTAATCCTAGCACTCTAGGAGGCCGAGGCAGGAGGATCAATCCAGGTCAGGAGGTCAAGACCGGCTGGGTGTGGTTGCTCACACCTGTAATCCTACCACTCTGGGAGGCCAAGGTGGGTGGATTGCTCGAGGTCAGGAGTTCGAAACCAGCCTGAGCAAGAGTGAGACCACGTCTCTACTATAAATAGAAAAGAATTCGAGACCAGCCTGAGCAAGAGTGAGACCCTGTCTCTACTAAAAATAGAAAGAAATTAATTGGCCAACTAAAAATATATATAGAAAAAATTAGCCAGGCATGGTGGTGCATGCCTGTAGTCCCAGGTACTCGGGAGGCTTAGGCAGGAGGATTGCTTGGGTCCAGGAATTTGAGGTTGCCGTGAGCAAGGCTGATGCCATGGCACTCTATCCTGGGCACAAAGTGAGACTTTCTCAAAAAAAAAAAAAAGACTGTGCTTGGCAGGGAGCAGTGGCTCACGCCTGTAATCCTAGCACTCTGGGAGGCCAAGGCAGGAGAATCGCTCAAGGTCAGGAGTTTGAAACCAGCCTGAGCAAGAGGGTGACCCCGTCTCTACTATAAATAGTAGAAAGAAAGAAATTAATTGGCCAATTAATATATAGAGAAAAAATTAGCCGGGCATGGTGGCGCATGCCTGTAGTCCTAGTTACTTGGGAGGCTGAGGCAGGAGGATTACTTGAGCCCAGGAGTTTGAGGTTGCAGTGAGATAGGCTGACGACATTGCACTCACTCTAGCCTTGGCAACAAAGCCAGACACTGTCTCAAAAAAAAAAACCAAAAAACCCCTGCTCCCTCGCATGGCTCCAGGGGAGGGTCATCCTGCCTCTCTCACCTCCTGGGGGCTCCAGGCATCCTTTGCTTATGGCCATGTCACATTGCCTCCTCCTCTGTGTCTATGCCAAAGCTACCTGTCTCTCTCACGAGGGCACCAGTCACTACATTTAGAACCCATCAGGATCACCTCCTGAAGTTTGTTTTCGTTTTAGTTTTCGAGATAAGAGTCTCACTCTGTTGCCCGGGCTAGAGTGCCATGGCGTCAGCCCAGCTCACAGCAACCTCAAACTCCTGGGCTCAAGCGATCCTCCTGCCTCATCTCCAGGAGCTGGCTACAGGCAGCTGCGCCACGCGCCGCTAATTTTTTCTATTTAGTAGAGACAGGTCTCACTCCCTTTGCCAGGCTAGTCTCAAATCCCTAGCACAAAGGATCCTCCCTCCCCAGCCTCCCAGAGTGCTAGGATTACAGGCATGAGCCACCTCGCCCAGGCCTCCTGAAGATCTTAACTGCATCTATCAAGACTTGCCAGGCAAGGTGGCTCACGCCTGTAATCCCAGCACTCTGGGAGGCCGAGGCAGGAGGATCACTTGAGCCCAGGACTTGGAGGTTGCTGTGAGCTAGGCTGACACCAAGGCCCTCTGCTCAGGGTAACAGAGTGAGACCCTGTCTCAAAAAGAAAAAAAAGGCCAGGCGCGGTGGCTCACGCCTGTAATCCTAGCACTCTGGGAGGCCGAGGTGGGCGGATGCTTGAGGCCAGGAGTTCAAAACCAGCCTGAGCAAGAGCGAGACCCCGTCTCTACTATAAATAGAAAGAAATTAATTGCCAACTAATATATATAGAAAAATTAGCGGCAGGTGGCGCATGCCTGTATCCCAGCTACTCGGAGGCTGAGGCAGGAGGATCGCTTGAGCCCAAGAGTTTGAGGTTGCTGTGAGCTGGGCTGACGCCATGGCATTCACTCTAGCCTGGACAACAAAGCAAGACTGTCTGAAAAAAAAAAAAAAAAAAAAAAGGACATTCTGGGGGCCCTTGTGAGAAGATGGGACGCACACTTGGGAAGCCAAGTTTGTAACAGCTTTATAGAAATATAATTCGCTTACCATACAATTCCCCCATTTAAAGTGTACAATTCAGTGTTTTTAGTGCATTCACCAAGTTGTGCAACCATCACCACTGTCACGGCGTGGCGGCTGGCCGGTTCCGTTCCTGTTCTTTGGAACTCCTGTTCCTAGTTTGTGAACACTTGGGCTGTATGCTCAATGTGTGCACTGCTCCGCAGGCATGTTAGACCTGAAACAACACATGCACGCAGTCTTTTTATGTAAGCGGATATTGGAGAGTGAGCCACGCCCTGGTGCTGCTTCTGTCTAGGAGAGATGCGAGACACACCGGCACGGCTAGCATCTCTAAGAGGGAAACCCTCCCCTTCATAACAAAGCTGCAAGTTAATCTACCACCCATGCTCAGATATTCCTTGGTGTCCCCTTTAATAGCTTTTTTTTTCCTGAAAAATTGAGGGCTGGCCTCATGCTGTGCGTTCAGCGGACTCTTCCTCTTTTTATTTAGCCTCTGTGGTTGGCCTCAAGGATATGACCACATCCTAATCCCCAGAACCTGTGAAGTTTGCCCTCATTTGGAAAAAAATGAGTTTTTTTTTTTTTTTTCTTTTTTTTTTGAGACAGAGTCTCACTTTGTTGCCCAGGCTAGAGTGAGTGCCCTGGCGTGAGCCTCGCTCACAGCAACCTCAAACTCCTGGGCTCAAGCGATCCTGCTTGCCTCAGCTCCGAGTAGCTGGGCGAACAGGCATGCGCCACATGCCCGGCTATTTTTTCTATATATTGTAGTTGGCCAAAATTTCTTTCTATTTATGTGGAGACGGTCTCGCTCTGCTCAGGCTGGTTTCGAACTCCTGACCTCGAGCAATCCGCCCGCCTCAGCCTCCCAGAGTGCTAGGATTACAGGCGTGAGCCACGGCGCCCGGCCCAGAATGTCCTTCTTGGGAGGTTACTCTCGGGCAGGAAGACCTGCATTTGCAGCTGGCCAAGAAGGTGGATGACACTGACCCAGTGTCCACGTGCTGTGCTGTCTGGCCAGCATGTTACATGGATTGTCATTTTATCCTTCCAGACATCTCTTTACTGGACCATTTTACAGAGGAAAAACTGAGGCAGTCATGGGTTCCTGAGACTGGGGCACCTGCCACACCCACCATGTGACCTGCCTGGGCCAGGAAGAGAGAGTCGGGGAACCCCTGAGCCACCAGGAAAGCATCCTGGCATCCGGCCGGACCGGTTGTCCCTCCAGCGGGCTCCCAGTGAGGGCAGGCAGGTCACCATGTCTTCACCCTGGTGCTATTTAAAGGTGCCACCTGGGGCTGTGGCTGCAGGGTTGGGCTGTTGGGAGCAGAAGGCAGGGATTGGAATCAGGGCTGTGCCTTGTGTTCCCACAATGGAAGTCGATGCTCCTCTCTGGGCCTCGGTTTCGGTTTCCCCACCTGTGGATGATTCTCCTGGGCTCTGAGGCTGTGAAGGTCACTGGGAGCTCAGGGCATGGGGCGGGCAGGTGAGGGGTGGGGCCAGCCATCTTACTGGGAGGTTCCCCATGGGGCGTGGGGTGTGGCTGTAAGTGGGGAGTAGGTGTGGGTGTGAATGGGGCTGCCCCATTGTTGCAGCCTCTGATGCACAGCACTGGTGGGCACTGGGCCTGGGTGTCCCACCAGACAGCCATCAACACGCCTGCATGGCCGTCCTCCCCACAGCTGCCTCCCACCTGCCTGCCCAAACACATGTCCCCTGCCACGAAGCCCCCTGCCCCCAGGAAGCTCCATTCAGAGGGGGCGTTGAGTCCCACCTGGGCATGCCCAGCCCTGGGGCCCAGCTGGCAGGGACTGATGCACGTGCCAGAACCTTCCCTCTCAATCCCTGTGCATCCTCGTGTCTCTGTCTCTCTCTGTCTCTTCCATGCCTCCCTGTCCCCGTGTCTCAGTCTTTCTGACTTGGTCCCTGTCGCTCCCTGTAGCCTTTGTCTCTGTCTGCCCTTCAGTCTCTCCTTATAGCTGTCTCTGTCTCTCAGTCTCTGTCTTGTACAGTTTCTCCCTGCCTCTCCTTGTCTCTGCAGCTCACAGCTTCTATATCTTAGTTTCTCTCTCTGGTCTCCTTCTCCCTTGTCTCTGTCTTGTGTCTCTTGTGTCTGTGTCTCTTGTCTCTGTGTCTTGTCTCTGTCTCTGTGTCTCTGGTCTGTCTCTGTGTCTTGTCTCTGTCTCTGTGTCTCTGGTCTGTCTCTGTGTCTTGTCTCTGTCTCTGTGTCTCTGGTATGTCTCTGTGTCTCTGGTCTGTCTCTGTGTGTCTCTGTGTCTCTGTCTCTGGGCATTTGGGGACTCAGGGACCCGCCCCACGGGGCGAACACGTGCGGAGGCCGCCAAGAGCGGAGTGGGCCCCGCCCCCGGCTCCAGGCCCCGCCCCCAGGCCGTGATTGGCCAGTCTCGACGCCCCATTGGCCGGTCCGGCCGCCGCCCCGCCCCCGGCCCCGCCCCCGTGGCCCCGCGCGAAGGCAGAGCCGCGGCCGCGCGGGGAGGCGAGAGCGGGCGGCGAGCGGGGCGCGGGCCATGCGCCGCCGCCTGTGGCTGGGCCTGGCCTGGCTGCTGCTGGCGCGGGAGCCGGGCGCTGCGGGGGCCCTGAGCGCGAGCGCGCCGCGCAGGGCGCGCAGCTACCCGCACCTGGAGGGCGACGTGCGCTGGCGGCGCCTCTTCTCCTCCACGCACTTCTTCCTGCGCGTGGACCCCGCGGGCCGTGTGCGGGGCACCCGCTGGCGCCACGGCCCGGACAGTAAGTCTCTGAGGAGGGCTGCGCGGGCCGGTTGCTTGGGGGGCGGGGTCGAGGAGGGGTTGATTCTGGACCCCCAACGCGGCAAAACCAAAGACACCCATCAGGCAGATGAGGAAACTGAGGCACAGAAAGAGGAAGTGACCCGCCCAGGATCGCACCTACAGGGGGTGGTGGAGCCGGGCGCCCCAGAGTCAGGACCTCATTCATGGAGCTAAAGTCGCGTCCCTTCTGCCCGGCTGTGTCCCCAGGGCCCCACCCAGCAAACAGTAGGCACTCCATAAGCGCGTGTGGAATGCTGGTGGCAAGAGGAGAGGCAGGGAGGAGGGAGGGGAGCGCAGGGAGCTGGGGAGGGGGCCGGTAATGGCTGGCCCCTGAATCACCGTCATTAGGGCAGATAATCACCCCCTGCCCTCCCCGCCGCTTTCATCTGGCTCCGAAGGCCCTCATTAGGCGGCATGCGACCAGGGCCAGGATGGGGACTGGCTGGGCCGGTCCACGGGCGGTGAGCACGGCCAGTCGGCGGGTGGCCTCGCGCGGGGGCAGAGGCCTGGATCGGCCAGGTGACCTGGGAGAGTCGCTACTTCTCTCTGAGCCTCGGTTTCCCCACTGGACGTGGATGGCGATGATGATTGACAGCTGTGTGGGCGGGGCTGGGAGCTCTCCTTGCCTTCATTCGTCTGGTGGTTATTATTCATAATTGGGCACCGCCTGTGTGCCGTGCTGGGCGCGGGGACCCAGTGGTGATCAAGCTGGCCAACCCTCCTGCTTCTAGAGCAGGGAGGAGAAGTAAACAAGCAAACAAGGAATGTCATAATTTCAGAGTGGACCAGGTGGGGTGCACAAAAGTGGGACAGGTGATGCTGGGAGGCTGACCTTTGGCCCCTTCACCTGGGGGGCCTAGAGGCTGCTCTGGGGGGGCTGTGTCTTGGGTTGGGCCAGGGTAGGGCAAGGAGCTAGCCAGGCACAGGAGGAGCTGGGTGCCTGGCTGAGGAATGGCCGGGGTGAGCGAGGTGGGGAGGGCACATGGCTGGCCACCTGGAGCTCGGGCCACAAGGTCTTGGCTGAAGGTCAGAGGGCAAGACCTGGATGGCAGAAGAGGCTCCAGTGTCCAGGGAGCAGAGGGTGCTTGCTGGACGGGAAACTGTATGCTCTGAGAGGGACAGGGCTCTCCCAGGGCTGCCCATGGACCTGTGGGGTCCAGATCTGGCTTTGACATTCCCAGGCCTCAGCTTGCCCCTCTGAAAAGTGGGCACAGGCAGCACCTCCCACCTGGGGCTGCTGCGTGGGCTTGGTGGGTGCAGAGGGTGTGGAATGCCCTCCAGCACGCTAGTGGTCACCAACGACCTGAATGTGCTGTCTGTGAACACCCTGTAACATAGCGTGGTGGGGGCCCGTGTGCCCACTGCTGGGCTGTTGTCCTGTCCTTACTTTTTTGTTTTGAGACACTCTGTCACCCAGGCTGGAATGCAGTGGTGTCATCACAGCTCACTGCAGCCTCCAGCTCCTGGGCTCAAGCGATTCTCCTGCCTCAGCCTTCCGAGTAGCTGGGGCTGCCAGTGTGTCACCATGCCTGGCTAAGTTTTCTATTCTTTGTAGAGACAGAGTCTCGCTTTTTTGCCCACTCTGGTCTCCAACTCCTGCTGTCGTTACTTCCTGTTATCAGAGCTTGTCCGGGGCAGGCACCCACCACCTCTTGCACTTGCAGTTTGAACCCTCTGGGCCTTTGGCTCGGTTTTCTTGCCCCTGGTGGGTCTGACTTGGCTCCTGGGGCCCCGAACCCCTGGTTTGGACACTATGCGTGGGTCAAATTGCATGGACGAGGACACTGACCTAATCAAGGGCCCCCCTGCTCCAAACTGCACCTCAGCTCCCCGTGTCCTCCAGCGGTAGGGGTGGGGCCTCCCTCAGGTTTGGCGCTGGCTATTCCCCCTGCCGCAGCCTGGGGAAGCTCCCGGGCATCTGTCCTGGCCCCGAGGGTCCTGTGGGCAGCATGGCGGCCAGCAGAGGGGCCCAGGGGCGGAGGCCTGCCCTGACCAGTCCCTGTCCCCGCCCAGCAGGCATCATCGAGATCCGTTCTGTCCACGTGGGTGTCGTGGTCATCAAGGCCGTACACTCGGGCTTCTATGTGGCCATGGACCGCCAGGGCCACCTCTATGGGTCGGTGAGTACCGGGCAAGCAGGGGCCTGGGGTTGGCGGGCGGTGGGATGGTCCACTGGCCTCACGCCCCGCCCCGCAGCGGGTCTACACTGTCGACTGCAGGTTCCAGGAGCGCATTGAGGAGAACGGCTACAACACCTATGCGGCACTCCGCTGGCGCCACCGTGGCCAGCCCATGTTCCTGGCACTGGACAGGAGGGGGGCCCCCCGGCCTGGCGGCCGGACGAGGCGGCACCACCTGTCCACCCACTTCCTGCCCGTCCTGGTCTCCTGAGGCCCCACGAGGCCGGGAGGGGCCTCCGACAGACTCGAGAGGCGCAGGCCTGAACTGGCGCCTGTTCTTCCATTGAGTGCCTGCTGCTGGCGCAGTGCGGCCCACACGTGGTCGGCTCCCAGGGAGCCCCGAGTGGTATCCCGTGTCCAGTCACGAGCTGGGGGGTGAGGATCCCGCAAGGCACCCCCTGGGTGGAAGGATGTGGTTGTCGGAAGTCTGGGAAGGGCATTCCAGGTGGGGCCCAGCCGGCCCAAGGCGCGGAGGTGGGAACACGTGGAGGGGCAGTTGGGGCTGAGGCCACGTGTGAAGTGGGTGGAAGAGGAGGTGGGCGAGGGCGGAGCAGGCAGAGACGGTGATGTAGGCACCACACAGGCAGGGCAACAGCCCACAGACGTCCCCGTCCTGATCCTGGGACCTGCAGGTATGCTATCTCCTGCAGACACAGGGACTTTGCCAGTGGGATTAAGGACCTTGAGACGGGAGGTCACCCTGGATGACCCGGGGACCCAGTTTCAGCACAGGCAGGGAGGGAGGCAGGGAGACTGGAAGACGCTGCGCTGCTTGCTCTGAAAGAGGAGGAGGGCCCCAAGCCGAGGGACACGGGCAGCCGCTAGACGCTGAGAAAGGCGGGATGTGGTTCTGCCCTGGAGCCCCCAGGAGGGACCGGCCTTGCCACACCCTGATTTTAGCCCAGAGAGGCCCACGTCAGATTTCTGACTCCAGAACTGTCAGACGATAAATGTTTTAAGCCATTGAGTTTGTGGTCGTTTTGTTATAGCAGCAGTAGGACACACATACACAACGCCTGGAACTGTTTAAATGACAAAGTGGTCCTCAGAGCTCCTGGGTTCTCCTGGGACGGGCGGAGACCAGGGAGTGGCGGGCAGGAACCGTGTGCTGAGCGCCCTCCTCTCCTGCAGCCCCTGGGATCCAACCCCAACCAGAAGGAAGGGGGAGCTGAGGGCCTGGGCTCCTCCTGCACACATGGGGTAATGAAGCCATCTGCCCTTGGGGCAGGAGAGAGCTGACCTGGTGAGGTGACAGCTCCTGGGGAAGGGCCAGGGCTCCCCCATCCAGCCACCACCCCCACTTACAATGTGGAAAGCTGAGTGGGCTAAGCACCTGCTGGGAGGGCGCTGGGCAGCCTAGGGCGGGGAAAAGCCCCCTGCTCACTCTGCAGAGACTGGTGGCCCTGCCCCAGGGGACCCTGTGAAATGTCAGGGATACCTGTGGTTGTCAGAGCTACGGCTCAGCCCCCATAGGGCCCCAGATGCCCTGAGGTCCACAGTGCCCAGGGTGACGCTGCCTAAGCAGACCCCCTGATGCCGCCCAGCACGGAGTGGGGAAGGGGCATGGCCACCGGAGCTCTGCCGTCTGGGGCTGCACAGTGCCACAGCAGCTGAAATAAAACCGCTGACACCAGCGCTGCTGCCGCAGACGTGGAGAAACCGGATCCCTCACATGGCACAGGCGGGAATACGACGCGGTGCCGGATCTGAACGGTTTGGCAGTTTCTTCTAAAAAACTAAACGTGCAGCTACCGTCCAACCAGCAGTGACACTTCTAGGCATTTATATCCCAGAGATGGACTCTGTTCACACAAACACCTGGACACCAAGAACTGGGAACCGCCAGCGTCCTTCTGAGGTGGAGTCACAGACCGTGGCACACCCGCACTGGGAGTGCCATCCAGTGGCGTGGGGGTGCACGCAGGGCGTGGTGCATCCCAGGAAATGACAGTGAGGAAAAGCCAACCCTGAAAGGTCACGGACGGTGATTCCGCTCTAGAGACGACAGCCTGGCCACAGAGGGTCCCATGGGGTCCCTGCAGTCCTGGCTTATGCACAGCTGGGTGTGACTGGGGGGGTCCTGCTCTCCTGGCCTCCCCACCGGAGGGACACACACGCCCTGTGGCCACAGACCCCCTCCCGGCCCTCTCCTGAGAACCCGCAGAATGGGAGCCTCAACTGCCTAGCACTGCGAGACTCCAAGCTGTCACTCTCCAGTGGGAAACAGGCCCTGCGTGGGTCACCTGCTCTGTGGCAGTGGCCCAAGTGGCCTCTGCTGGCTGCTGGTACAAGTCACCTCGGTGGCTTAAAACACATGACTCTCTCACAGTCCTAGAGATCAGATGTCCCCAAGCCAAGGATAATCCCAGGTAACCTCCGCGTCTCAATGTCCTCATCTTAGTCTTATCTGCAGGGCACCAGATGCATCATCTGTAAGGTTCGTCGGAGGAGGACTTGGACATCTTTGGGGGCCGATGCTCTGAGGGCCACAGCCCCGGAGGTGGCCCTGGCAGTGGTCATCAATGTCACGGATGCTCACAGATGCTTCTCTCTAGCTCTGGGGCCCCGATGGTGTCTCCCAGAAAGGTTCAAAGGGCCTCGTCTCAGTAGCAAAAACCAAGAAATGACCAAGTGCAGAGCCAAGGATGGGCAGGACCTACGTCACCAGCCGAGCGGGGGGCAGCAGACACCTCTAAGGTGTGGACAGAGCCTGGCACGGAGCAGACGCTGGGAACCTGCACACAGCACTACGCCAGGGCGTGGGAGCCGGTGCCCTGTGGCTGCTGCAGACAAAGGTGGCCCCTGTGAGGGGTGGGCTGCGGACAGGGCCCGCGGCGGTGGAGATGGGGGGCTCCTTTATCTGTCTAGACCATCTGACATCCGGGATATGGGAGACAAACTCACCACCCAGCCCTGGGCAGGTCCCCACACTTTGCCCGGGGCTGGCTTGTGGCCACGGCCAGTGTCCGCCCACCCTGGCTGCAGAGCTGCGCTGTGTAGACCCAGCAGGGAACCCTGAGACGGGACGTGTGCAGTGAGGGTGCTACCTGTTTGGTGCAGCCTTATTTTCAGTTTGAAATTGTGCAACCCGGTGACATGTTGCCATCTCCTTGTTGGACATTGCCAGTTCAGACTTCCAAGGTTTCAGTCTGTCATTGTGGGTGCGACAGTGGTGGGCCCCCAGCTGAACCCAGGTGGGGCATGGCTCGGCTCCGGGGCTCACAGCAGGCTCAGACCCCTCCGGGGACACACAGACCCCCCAGCAAGTCGGGCAGCTCAGCCCCCTCCAGACACAGTGGCACAGAAGGAAGACGCCAAGGCACCCGCTTCTCTTTTTAAGTGGTGTATTTTAAATAGCTTCCGAGATACACATTTTCTCCTTTAAAAAACGTCTGTCCGAGCAGTTTTGTTCTTGGGTTTTTTTGCTGGTCATCCTCGTGGTCCAAGCCCCCCAAACTCCGGGCGGTGGAGGCAGCCTGGGGACCCTTGCAGCCTGTCCTGGCGGCATCACAGCCCTGGTGAAGCAGCTGCACCCGTCCGTCCACAGATCATGCATGGCCGCGTGTGAGCTACAACGTCCATTTATTTCAGAGCAGTAATAATTTAAAATTATAAAAACCTTTCCGCCATCGAGCGTTTAGAGGGTTAGAGACAGGGGAGGGGGAGGCTGAGGGCGCCCCTGGAAGGCCGTGTGGCCCGCGCCCTCCGGGCCGGGAGTGGCCAGCGAGTGGGACGTCCCCTGGGCTGGGGGCCGGTGCCGAGCCCATCCCACCCTGGGCGCTGACCGACCAGGCGAGTCCCGGCGCCCGCGGTGACCGAGCCGGGGGCGGGGCGGGGCCGCAGCTCTCCCAGCAGCTCCGCCGAGGCGGCTCACGAGTTACTCGCCGCGTTCTCGTTGCCAGGCGAGCTAGAGGAGGATGAGGAGGACGAAGAGGAGAAGCTCACCCCCGTCAGGCCCGGGGGGTTCGTGGCCGTGTTCTGTCCTGTGAGGCTTTTTCGGCAGACAGGGCAGCTGTCGTGCTTTGTGTGGACAGAGGTGCAGGGAAAAGATCTGGTTAGAGACGGGGGGCAGGAGCCCAAAAGGCAGGCCAAGTGGGCCAGGAGGTGGACAGGGGCGTGCCAGAGAACTGTGGATTAAAGAGGCCTTGGGTGGGAGGCTGCGGACGCAGGTGGGCCGTGCGTGCAAGTGGGGGGGGCGGGCCAGGGGCATAAGAGTGGGCCAGGGGCAGGGCGCTGCTCACCTGCTCCAGCCAGGGCACAATGCAGCCGTCGTGGAACAGGTGGTTGCAGGGCAGCTGCCGCACACTCTCGCCCAGCGCGTAATCGTCCTTGCACACGGGGCACTCGAGCCCGGAGCCTGTGGGGCACAGTGAGGCCAGGAGGGAGGACCACAGCTGTCTATCCTCCCCAAGGCAGCAGGTGCCCCATGGGGAGTCGGCCTGGGACACCCAGCCCCAGGCAGGGCAGCCTCAGGCACAAGGAGGCAGAGGGGACCAGACAGAATCCTCCCTAACCCTAACGCAGAGCACATGGGCCGTACCTACGTGCTCCTCCGTGACGGGGACAGTGGGGAGGGCCTGGATTTTCTCCTTGTCTGCGGGTGGTGGGCCTGTGTTTTCAAACTGATTGAGAAGCTGAAAGATAAGGGTAAGAGGGAGCTCCTGGGGGAGGAGCAGCGCCTTCAGCCCAGCCCTGGGCTCTGAAGTGTGGCCTGCCAGAGCCAGACCCACAAAAGTGCGGAGGCCTTGTTTGTCCCCGTCCGGACCCCTGGGAGCCTGCCCTGGCCGAGTCAGAGGTCACTGTGGCACCCGAATCCCTGCCTGGTGGGCAACTGGAGGGCCCACGTCCCACTGCCCTCGGGACCCGCCAGTGACGAGACTCTCCACAGCTCACTGGCAGGTGAGGAGGGCATGGCCTGGCCGCAGCGCCACCCCAGGCAGGTGAAGCCAACATGTGCAGGGGGACTGCAGGCCTGGGGCGTGTCCTCCCACAGTGGGCTGCCACACTCTGCAGGACGTGGAGACACAGGGACAGCAGGGGGCAGGAGACACCCCAGAACCCTCGCATGCAAAGCCGACAGCAGCCCGGTGCCCCGGCAGCCTGCTGGGCGCCAGCCCTGTACCTGCGTGATGATGGCGTCCAGGCCATTGGCCCCCCAGGCGTAGTCCATTGGGTTTGAGTGCAGGACACCCCTGGGGGGAGAGATCGGGGTTCGAGTGGCCGCAGCTGGGTGGGGGCAGCCCCCCCCTTCTACTCACCAGGGGCCCAGGCCCAGGTTGGGGATGGTGGCAGGCGTGATGATGCCGTTGACCAGCTGCTGGATGATCCTGGAACAGAGCGTGGGGTAGGTCAGCATCCAGCCACCAAGTTGCTTCTGTTAGTTTTTTTTTTTAACTTTTTTGTTTTTGTTTTTTTTTTTTTGAGACAGAGTCTCGCTTTGTTGCCCAGGCTAGAGTGAGTGCCGTGGTGTCAGCCTAGCTCACAGCAACCTCAAACTCCTGGCTCGAGCAATCCTCCTGCCTCAGCCTCCCAAGTAGCTGGGACTACAGGCATTCACCACCATGCCCGGCTAATTTTTTGTATATATATTAGTTGGCCAATTAATTTCCTTCTATTTTATAGTAGAGACGGGGTCTCGCTCTTGCTCAGGCTGGTTTTGAACTCCTGATCTCGAGCAATCCGCCCGCCTCGGCCTCCCAGAGAGCTAGGATTACAGGCGTGAGCCACCGCGCCCGGCCTAACTTTTTTGTTTTTGAGACAGGGTCTCACTCTGCCGCCCAGACTGGAGTACAGTGGTGTCACCATAGCTCGCTGTGGCCTCCAACTCCTGGGCTCAAGCAATCCTCCCACCTCAGCCTCCCCAGTAGGTGAGACTACAGGTGTGTGCCGTCACACCCAGCTACTTTCTCTATTTTTAGTAGTGAAGGGGTCTCACTCTTACTCAGGCTGGTCTCGAACTCCTGAGCTCAAGATATCCTCCTGCCTCGGCCTTCAGAGCGCTAGGATTACAGGTGTGAGCCACTGCACCCGGCCCCTATATTTTTTTTTTCAGACAGGATCTGCTCTGTCACCCAGGCTGGAGTGCTGTGGCATGATCGCAGCTCACTGTGGCCTCCAACTCCTGGGGTGACGCGATTCTCCTGCCTCAGCCCCCCAAAGTGGTGGGTTTACAGGCGGGCCTCACCATGCCTGGCTAAACCAGCTTTTACAGATTCCTTTCAGCAACCACAGAAGGGATCAACTGCCACGAGAGAAATCCAGTGATCCTCCCTCCTGCCCAGGCCCAAGGCCAGGAGGATACCCGGCAACATGCAGACACGTGACCACCTGCAAAGCCGTGTCTAAAACCCAGTGGGAGGAAACTGCTCCTGGCTCGGGGTGCTGCCCTGTAACCCCACACATCCCAATATCACTCCATACGAGTCCCTCAAGCCACGGAGTCTGCACTGCTGCTTCTAAGGACCCCGAAACATGGCCCGTTCCTGCCTCCAAAGTGCTGTGTGGGGCCGCAGCTCTGCGGGGATGAGACTGAGGCTCCCCGGAGCGTTGGGGCTCAGAAGGGACCAGAGCAGCCAGGCTGGGCCAGCCAGCCTTTCCTGAGAGCCTGGCAGGAAACCCAGGTTTTGGTGGAACCCGTGCCCATTTTTAAGTGTCAGAATTTCCGATCTTACCAAGCAGGGCCCTCTCGGCCACCCCCAGGGCCCCCTCACCCTTCCAGCGTGGGGACGCCTTCCTGTCGGCCGGTGGCCCTCCGCGCGGTGAGGCGGGCACGGGGCTGCCGGGCGCCATACCGGTGCCGGGATGGGTGCTCTCTCTCCCGCCGGCCTTCGGGGTCCCTGCTGTCGTCAGTCTGTGCCCCAGGAGGGAATGTGGGGATCTCGAAGCTGTCGTCAAAGATGCCAAAAGCAAACTGTCCGTAGCCCTGCGGCAGCGTGAAGAGGTGCTGGTCCACGTTCTGGGGAGAGGAGGGGGGGTGACCACGGAGCAGGGCCTGGGGGCAGCCACCGGGGCCTGCAAGGTCTGCCAGGGAGAAAAGGCAAAGGAACACAAGGCAGGCCCCAGGGAATACCAGGCAGACAGAGGTGGGGGGGCAGAGCTGGCCACGCTCATGACAAGGACAGGGAGAGTGGCCAGGTGGCCCGGACAGCCAAAAACCGCCCTATCGGGACTACACGCTCAGCCTGCACAGTGGCCAGCTTCCGCTGACTCTCCTCTAGGGAGAGCCCAGGAAGGTCTGGGACAGGGTTTGTGAGACACAGAGTAAACGGGACAACAGAGTGGTGTGGCGGGAGAGGCGTGGTGGCAGTGACACAGGAAGATGGGCCTGGGGCTGGTCCAGGAGCCTGGGGTCGGGATGAGTTTGCTGCTGCCCCAGCTAGGCGGCAAGGGCAGGATAGCAGAGAGCCGCCAGCCCCTGGGGCAGGTGACTGGCAGCAGGACGAGAGGTCACAGGCCCCAACTCACTTCAAACGGCTGCCGGCTCTGGTCTGTGGGGGCTGTGGAGGGGGCAGAACCGTTTTCTGTATTCCTGGGGAGAGAAGCGCACGTCAGCGGGCTCCAGAGCCCCACAGGTGCAGGGTGCTCTCTGCAACCCCGTTTCTGGGCCTGCACGTCAGGAGAGTGAGACTCATACATCTATAGCCACCCCAAGATGCGGACTGTGTGGTCACTGCAGAAACTGCAAACCCCCGGGACCCCCCCACACACACACGGAAGAGGAACCTTCCAGACTCTGGCATACCTGGATGTGTCCACACCTGCCTTTGGTGTCACCACCTTTTTTCTTCCCTAAGTAAACCAGCAGTGGCTTTATAAATTGACACAGACACCCCCCGCCCAATTCACGAGTGTGTGGATGTTGGCAGGGGCCACAAGGCCGCTACTGTTCCCCAACTTCTGTGTCCTGGCCCAAGGACACCCTTGCCCTGGAGGAAGTGTCCTCAGATCCAGGAGGCAAGGCCTGGGGAGGAGAGTGACTGCTGGAGGCCACCAGGCCTGTGCTCTGGCCCCGGCCCCCCAATGTCACCACAGAAGAGGACCTTGTGCTGCCATCCACGGGAGGGACGAGCCCCAGGGCTACCACAGCTGCTTCCTGGCCCAGCTGGCCCAGTGCCCAGAGATGCCAGGGCCCACAAGCCGTATGCCAGGCGGGCACTGGCCAGCACAGTCCCTGCTTGCCCACCCGCACTTAAGACCCTGCCGGCTTTTCCAACTGCTACAACCAAGGCGTTGGGATACCTGGTCTCTTCCGGAAGCTCCTCGATAAAGCCAGACTCGCATCTTGGGCAGATGTAATCCTGTAGGAGACAGGAGCCCAGGGTCAGGTGGTGTCCCCACCCCTGCAAGCCACAGGGCACCTCAGGGCCCATCTGTGAACCCTTAAGGACAAGAGCAGAGGGGCTCCACCTGCCCAGCCTGGCACATGCGGGCCCTCCCGACTCCTTGAGTCTTAGAGGACAGACAGACGGACGAGGGAGGCCAAGAGGACCTGCCAGCTCCTGCCAGCCCCAGGTGGCAAGAACACTGACCCAGCCTGCACTGACCTGTTCCTCCTGCAGGTGTCCTTCCCCTCCCCCTGCCCTGGGTCCCAGGGCTGGACCCAGACTTAGCGTCCCCACAGTGACGGGGATGTCACCGTAGGCTCCAAGCTCACAGCCCAGTGTGGCAGTTGCGGCATGAAGCCTAAGCCCCTGGCTGCAGCATGGCCCCACCCTGGTGACAGCAAGTGTGTGAGCCCTCAAACCATGCCATGGCTCCCTGACCATGCCTCAAGCCACAGCCGTGCTGAGCAGGCCCACGTCATCAAACATGCGGATCAGGGCTCTCACATCTGTCCTCAAGTTGCCTCTGGGAGACGTGGACACAGACAACACACGTACGAGACGTACAAGCGTAAGTCCTCTTGGCGTGTCATCATGCGAATGCCCAGGACACATGCCGTGGGCTCTGGGAACCACACGCTCCACAGGGCTGGTCACAGTCCTGCTTAAGGCAGCGCAGGGCTGGGCTCTGCTGCGGAGCACAGTCCTGCATCCGGCCTCACCTGCTGACTCTGGGGACGGCCGCGCCACACCGGGCCCCTCACCTGCTCCTGCTGCCAGTGGCAAAGGCTGAGATAGGGGCAAGCAGATGGTGTCCCCACATAACCCCAAGACACAAGGACTCACAGGCTGGCCTGTGTGTGAAGGGACTCGCACCGACAGTACTAACACGTAAGAAACACTTAAGACTCAACGAAAACACAAACCACCCAGTTTCAGAAACAGGCAAAAGATCTGTGTAGATATTCCTCCCAAAAATACAAATAACCAACGAGCACACAAAAAGATGCCCCAAACTGGCAGCCATCAAGGAGATGTAGTGAGACACTGTCACCCCACAAGGAAGGCCAGGCCCAATGCCAGACGGTGCAGGTGAGCCTTGGACACGTCTGGCGGGAGAGAAAAGTGGGGCAGCTGCGAAGGAAAACAGCCCAGAAGTTCCTCAAATGGTTAAAGGTAGAATCACGTGACCCAGCAGAAATGACAACACCCGAGAGAAATGGAAACACATGCCCGCAGAGCCTGTGCGCAAACAGCCTGTGCGTCCACAGCAGCACGACGTGTAAGCATCACAGGGTAAAAACAGCTCAGGTGCCCATCAACAGGCGAGTGGACAAACCCAGCGTGGCCCATCCACACTGGAATGTCACTTGGCCACAAGAAGGAAAGAGGCTCAGACACAGGCCACAGCGTGGAGGGACCATGAGGACATCGTGCTCAGTGAGAGATGCCAGACACAGAAGGACACGCACAGGTGGATGCGTGGTGTGAAATACAACTCAATAAAGCTGTTACAAGAATCAAACAACCACAACAGCAGCCCCTGGCTCAGGGCACAACCGGGTTGGTCTGCCACAGCGAGCAACGGTGGCAACTGTCACCAGGCGAGTGATTCCCGGGGGACAATAGGGGTGCGGCTGGACTGCCAGGAATGAGACATCCCACTTAAACACAGATTTCACAGATAAATCTGAATTTCTGCCTCTTGTTGACGTCAGGGGTCCATTCCCATTGCCCACGTCTCCGCCTGGAGGGCCAGGGCTCAGGTCCAGGCTCTCACCAAGTCCAGGTGGCCCCCAGTGCCAGCATGGCTCGGTGGACCTGGAATGGCCGCCCAGGCCCCAGGACATAATCAGACTCGCACTGCCCTCTCTGAGCCTCTCCACTGCTGCCCAAGTCCCACCAGGGCCTGTGGGAAAAGCCTCTCCTGAGGGACCCCAGCTTGCTGCCCAGGCCTCCACCCTCTCCTAGGCATGCGCAGGGTCCCAAACACATGTGCGTGACCTGCCTGTGCTGACAAGGGGCCCTGCCCACTAGGCTTGGCCTCTAGAAATCGGGCAACTCGTCTGCCTGCAGCAACCATGGGACCTCATTCCACAGCCCCGTCCTGAGCCCTGAAGTGCACAGCCACCCAAGGACACTCACCTCCTGGCTGTGGACAGGCTGGGCTCTGGCTCTGCTCCTTGGCCGTAATGCCCCTACCCTGACCAGGCCTGCAGACGGGGCCCGACGCCTGGGTCACACAGGCAAGTGCCAGGAAGATCTGAGATGCACGGAGCCAGGGGCTCAAGCCTCCATGCCAAGGCGGTGGGAAGGGGCTGCACTGCACGGTCTCCAGATACTCCCCTCTCCAAGGACACGGCCCAGAGATTGTTTTGTGGCCACAGCACAAACTCACGCTGAAGCAGGGCTCCAGGAGGGAAAGGGCTATCCCACCCCACCACATGGCACCCTTGTTCCTGGAGGGTCCAGCAGCAGCTGCTGGTCCTTGTTACGACTCCCCACCCAGAGGACAGGAGGAGGCAAGGTGACCATACAGCATTCTCACTGTAGCAGCAGCTCAGCAAGGCAGCAGGGACGGACCCAACACTGTGCCCCACCCATGCGGCCCCCAGGACGTGCCATTGCCTCATCCCCAGTCCCTGAGGAGGGACTGCCCCAGGCAGCAGGGATGCCCCAGGGATGTGTCCTATGTATAATACACTGAGGGCCCCAGGTTGGCATTCAGAGGCAAGTAGGATAAACTGAGGCCACAGCTGAAGAAACTGCTGCCCCCAAGTGACCACGCAGCTACAGCAACACCCGCCTCCTCAGGAGAACTGTGAGCTTGGGAAGACCTTGGAGGTGGGGTGAGGGCAGTTATCTGTCCTTGTCCTCTGCTGGAGCCCTTCACACCAGCCACTGCTCTCTACAGAGGATGCCACAGCCTTCTCAGCTGACCTGGGACATGTGGACCCTACAGCCCCCCAGGGTGCACGTGCTGCTGCCCCTTCCTCCTTGGTCTCAGCTGCGGGCACCAGGCCCACAGCCCCACCCTGCCTGTCCCCAGACTGCCTGCGAGCCCCACACCTGAGCCGTGCGCTCCTGGCTGGACGGTCAGTGAGCTAAGCTGCTGCTGAGGGCCGGGCCCCGCCACCTGAGGCTGCCGTGTAAGAGCGAGACACACACACTCGTGCGCCCGCGAGCGTACACACACCCCAGCAGCACTTCAACCCAAGGGCACCCGACCCCACCTTCCTCACTCTTCCCAGGCTGCTTCGGGCCCTGTCGCTAGGGCTCACTTGGTGCCGGCCGTGCTGGGGCGCACCATGCCTGGCCCGATGCTCAGAGGTGCAGGTGCCCTGGGTGCCCCGAATCAAGTTCTCTCTCCTGGGGCTCAGCAGTATGATCCGCGTGGAGACATAGTTCCGAGCAGGAAGAAATTCTGTGCCCACCCTGCCCGGCGTGAACCTCTGCATCACCAGGAGGTATCCTGGTACCGGATCCCAAGGCGGGCTCTGCGCTGCTGGAAACCAGCTCGACTCAGCCTCCCTGGAGGCCAGCTCTGTGGCTGCAAACCTCTCCAAGGCACTGGGCAGACACTAGTGAAGGGGGACAGGTTGTCACCGTCACAACATCTAGTTTAACAAGGGACACACAGAGCAGGCCAGTGGCTGGAGGGTTGGCACCTACACAGTGTGGCATGTGAGCCCTGCCCGGGAGGACTTTGGACTTTATTCTGCTGAAGACCAGGGACCAGGGCTGTGCAGGAGACAGCGCAAGCAAGGCCACTCCGGGGCAGGCTGAGGGCCACCAGTGAGGATGGCAGCATCAGCCCTGGCTGCCGAGGGCTCCCACCAGCACTTGCTCCACACCCCACCCATGCTTGGGGCAGGTGCCCAGACACCTGTGCTGTCCTGTCCTATCACTCAGGGACTCTTCTGAGAGGGAAAAGCAGATACTCCCAAAGGGGACCACAAGCGTAAGCAAGGCCACCCCAGGAGTCACCCTGAGATGAGGGTGAGGACAGCAGCCCAGCCAGTGGGCGGGCAGGCGTGTGGATGGCACCTGCATGGTCCATGCTGCCCTCTGGGAGGGGCTGTGCATCCACAGGCCATGAGCCCCAGGCCACCTCCCCCAGCGCTCGCCAGGCTCACGGGTGCTCAACGCCCTCAAGGTGCCTACACAGCATGCAAGACCTTCAGGGCACAAGCAGCTCCTCCACCTCCACCTGCCCACGCCGGCTCAGCCCTGGCAGGCACTGAGGCAGAGGATGCCAGCACTCAGCAGGCCCCTGTCCACACAACTGCATGGCATGCCACCCAAACCAACACGTCCTCACTAGAGTCGAGTCTGGGCCTGCGCGCCACCTTGCAAGGCCCCCAAGCCCCAGCCGGCCTGTCTGGTTCCTGCTCCCACATGCCCCACGCCAGCTAAGCCTTCCTTCCCTGGAACACCCAGACCTTCGTCACTATCTTTGATGCAGACAGCCAGGTCCCCAACTGCGAGCACTGGGCCCTCACCGGCAAGGCGTTGGGCAAGAGCCTCCAGGTACCTAGTACTCTGCACACAGGTGCTCCCATTTGACAGGTGAAGAGACTGAGGCCTGGCGGCTGAGTGCCCTGCCCAAGACCATGCAGCTGAGAAGTGGACAGCTGCATGTGGCCTCAGCCTGGTACCAGAGCCCAGGTGATATGGATAGCCTGGGATGGCCCAGCTGCCACAGGGGTGCCCCCCATGAGCAGGCACATGGCCCATAGCAATCCAGGTGCCTGAGAGGGAACCACTTCAACAGGCCAGTTCCTTTTGTGGTCAGAAGCAGAAACTTCATAAAAACTAGCCCAGGTATCTCAGCAGTAGCGCATCCGACTAAGGTGCAGGGCGAGTCTCCCACGAGCAGAAATACCATTTCAGGGGTGCTAGCAGTGAGCCGGGACTTTCCCGGGCTTGGCCAGTACCCAACCAGAACCAACCTTCCCTCCCCAGAACACCAGGCATGCCTCGGTCACAGCACAAAGATGCTCTGGTACACAGCCACCCTGTCTACTGGCGACTCACTGAATCCTGCTCCAAACTCACGAGTAGGCACTCCAGGACTATTTACATGGCGGAGACAGGGGCTCTGCCCCACACTCCCTCCCCACCATTATTTGCTCTTACAGAATCTACCAGCGTTTGTGACTAAATATTTGTCAATCACTGTCCAACACTGGCTCTCTGGCCAGCAGGTTTGTGAGGGTGGAGACCATGCCTACCTTGTCACCACTGGGTTCCTGTGACTTAGGAGGAAGGTCCTCACCAGGCCTAGTGACAGTTGGAGGAGGTCAGGGTCCTTCTCATCCAAGGCCACAGGGCCAGGAAGTGGCTACACCATGCCCGGACCCAGCCCTGTGCTGGTCCCAGGAATGGCAACCAAGAGCAGCTGCGTGCTTAGTCTTGCAGACTGCCCCTCCTGTGGTCCCGCCACACAGCCACAACCCCGGGCTTACCCAGAGCCCAACCTGGGCTCACACCAGGCCCATGGGGCTGCGCTGCAACTAACCCAGACAGGGAGGCCATCAGGCGACCAGCCCTCTCCTGCCACAGGAAAAAATAAACCCACGCATTTGGTCACAGAAGTCTTCTGTCTTGAAGGTATCTCCCACACCTGAGCTTTGACTGTACTTGTCTCTCCTGCTGAGAAGGGGGGATGCCCTGGCCTCTGAAGCCGAATCCCCTCTACCCTGCCTCTGCCTCCAGCTCCCTTTCCAGGGATCCCCACAGTCCCCTGCTGCATCTGGAGGGCCTGGGCCTGGATTACAGGTCATGGCGCAACAGCCAGCAAGAGGAAACATACAAAGAGCGCACACGGTGGGTGTCCCACAAGCCTCGCTGCCTGCAGTCCCTCCCCCATCACAGGGTGGGGAGTCTAGATGCCCCTCCACCCCCGCTTCCCTCGCTGCTCCCTTCCAGCCAGCTCCGCCACTTCTCTGCTGAGCCTCCCCGGGCTTCAGTTCTCCCACCTGCACGGCGGGAGTGGGCTGGTCTAAATCACCATTTCCACGTCAGCCTGGGGAAGGGGGACGCTGGCTAAAAATGCAGATGGCCCAGCCCATTCCAGACCTACTGACTCAGAACCCCCGTGACCAGGGGCCTGGAAAATGGCACCTTCAACAAGCATTATTCCCCCCAAGGTGACATCAGGTCAGTTTGGGAAACACTGGCTTAAAGGGGCAGGAAGCAACACCTTCCACACCGGAGCACAGAGCCCTTCCAGCCAGGAGCAACTAGATTTCAACAGTCTTGATAAGGGAAGGCGCGCCCAGGTCCCAGGCAGACGCTTCGTACGGGAAGGGTCTGGTTCTAAAGGCCTGCCCCCTGGCTGCTGCCGGACCCCTCGGCCTGCCCGTCTGTGAAATCAGCAACCAGGGACTTGCCTGCGAAGGCGGCGCCGGGGGCTCCACGAGGCCGGCACGCAGCAGGGCGCCGGCGCTGGCGGCACAGACCACGCGCCCAGCGGACGTCCCCTGGCGTTATTTCGGGGTCTGATCCCCCCCACGCCTCCCTCCTCCGGGGCGCGCCTCTTTCCTGCAGCGCGCCCCCGAGAGAGTCACTTGGCCTCTCTGGGCCTCAGTTTCTCCACCTGCAAACCCAGGCTCGCTGGACTCCGGGGTCTGGTCTGGCGGGTCCGCAGCCTCAGGGGGCGGTAAGGCCGCGGATGTGGGGCCCGGCCCCGACCCGCAATGTGCCCCCTGCGCCAGGCATCGCCTCCTGGCCCGGCCTCAGTTTCTCACACTGGAGGACCGGGTTCATGCCCGCACCGCTCGGGGTCTCCGCGGAGCGACCTTAGGCCGCTGCTGACCCGGGCCTTAGTTTCCCCGCAGGGGCCAGCTCGCACAGAGCGGCGGGCGCCGGCTACCCCCACCCGGACTCGCCTCAGGCCTGCGGGAAAGGCCCCGCCGCCGCCCCCAGCCCGAGCCTCACCGGCAGGCGCGGGACGATCTCGACGGAGCAACAGTGGCAGAAATACCGTCCGGGCTGTGGCGACGCCTCGGCCATGGCCACCGCCGCCGCCTCCGCGCCGCCCGCCCCCCGCGCGGCGCCCGCCGCCGGCCGTTTGCTGCTCCCTCGCCGGCCGACGCGCACGCTCACGCACGGCACGCAAGGCGTGGGGTGGGGCGGGCGCGCGGGAGCGACGCAGGCGGCGCGCGCGGCGGGCCTGGATGCGGGCGATGGTGGCCGCTGAGGGGCAAATTAGGGACGGCGGTTAGGGTGCGCGCCGGGCAGGGGCGGGGCCAGATCCAAGGGCTGTTAAGGAGGCCAAGGGGCGGGGCCTTCACGGGGCGGGGCCGAGTCTCCTTGGCAACCTGTATCGGCGCTGGGCGGCACCAGGCCCAGAGGATGCAGAAGGGCCGAGGGGCGGGGCCTGCATGGGGCGGGGCCGAGTCTCCTTGGCAACCTGGATCCGGCGAGGGGCGGGACCAGGCCCGGAGGATGCGGAAGAAGGCCGAGCCCCTCCTCTTCCCCCAAACCCGCGGCACCCTCACCTCGCCCGTTTCCCCGCCTGTCCTACCGTTCTCTCGCTCCGCTGTGCTCCATCCCACGGTCCTCGCTGTCCGTGGGACTCGCCAGGTGCGCCGAACCCCTGGCGTCTGCACCTGCCGTGCCCGCGCCAGGCGCACCGTCCTCCCAGACACCTGTGCGGCTTCTTCTCCCGCCTTTCAAGTCTGCGCTCAAATGTCACCTTCCCGCGAGCCCCCTGACGCCGTCCTGCTGGGGCACCTGTGAGTCCAGCGTCTTTCCGCCGGGACCCAGCGGGAGTCCCCTGAAGCCTGTGCAAGGAATGCGGGCTCGGGACCACTCCTGGGCGGAGGGAGGACCCTCAGAGCCTGAGTCGCGTCGTGCCTCGGTGGGACCCACAGGATAAGAGTCTGAGGCCCGCTGGGCCGTGGCCTTGTCTCCACGACGCTCTGGGGTGAGGAGAGGGCAGGAAACCTAAACCCCCTTCCTTGAAAAACCAATCATCAGAAACTGTGTCATCTCCCAGCACAGGCCAGGACCATGTCTGCATTTATTTCTTTATTCACTCAACAAACATTCACTGAGCACCTACTGCATACCAGAGCCTATACTGGAGGAAGGCAGAGGAGATGGGGCTCTAGGATGGCCATGGCTCTGCCTGGGGAGACAGGGAGGGCTGCCTAGGAGAGGAGGCAGGGAAATGAGGGCTTTAGGAATGAATAGGAGTTGGTTGGAGCTGGATTTCCTGAAGAAGGGGGCGTTGGAGCCAGGGTGTTGAGGAATGAAGAATTGGAGCCTGTGTGTGAAGGTTTGGAATGCCAAGAGGTTGGGGACAGGGACTTAACAGCTGGCCACCTTGTCCCTTCATTTCAGTGGCAATTTCAATCCATGCCTGCTCTGACCACCAGAGAGCGCACTGGCCTCATCGCCTGGAATCCAGGACTCGCCTCCCCCCCAGGTCGGGGGTGTGGGGAGAGCTGGGATCCAGAGACACAAAACCAGGCCTCTTAGGCTCAGCCGCTTCGTGGACATTCATTCTGCAGAAATTCGTGAGGTGCAGGCAGCACTCTAAGGTAGTTAAGAGGCCTTGGAGCAGCAGGCCTGGGTTCAAATCCCATCAAGCCATACGCTGGCTGTGTGACCCTGGACAAGTTGCTTAACCTCTCTGAGCAGGTGGCAGAACCTGTCTCTCAGGGTTTTAGGCTGGATCAGGCTTGGGGCAGACATGAGTACCCTGGGTACCTCCTTGGTCCCTACTGGCTCCTTGGGTGGGCCATGTAGCGTCTTATCTCAGGGCCTTTGCACGGCCATGCCCTCTGCTGGAGGTGCCCTTCCCACACTCCCTTCTCTTTCCCCTGCTTCGTAGGAGTCTATGCCTACCCCCTTCATGGGGGAGCCCCCATCTCTGGGCCTCCAGGCCTGGGCACCTCACCTGCTGGCCGCCCCAGGCTGAACCTCAGACCGTGGCCTAAGGACTCAAGTGCTCAGGCCAGCGCCTGCGTGTGACCTGCGGCTCTGAGGTTCTGGGGCCCTCAGGTGTCCATTTGTGCCCAGGGTGGTTACTTTGTTGCGGCTGCCAACAGGACAGAGCTGGGCCCCATGGTTGAACCTAAACCAATGACCAACAGGAGGAATGACTGACATCACTGTGGCTCTTTTCGTCCAATCAGCATCCACCTCTGGGGCTAGGGCAGGGCCCTGCCTTCTGTTACATGCTGGGCTGCCTGACGCCCACACAAAAGCAGGTGCCTTGTCAGGCAAGGGGAGCAGCCAGCTGTGGAGTGGGGATGCCCAGTGGCCAGCGTGGAAGAGCCGTGCTGTGGGGAGGGCTCCGGAACCCAGGCCAACACACCTGAACTGAGTCCTATGGCCTCCGGGAGTCATGGGTGGTTTTTGAGCTGGGAAGGGTACAACTGATGGGGTGTTATCAGGCCCAGCTGTCTTTGTTCCCATGTCCTCTGCCACAGCCAAGTCCTCAGGCCTCTGCGGTGGTTTTCAGCATCACAGACCCCAGCAGAGAACCAGCAGGGCCTTGCTGTCTAGACCCCAGCGGTTTCAGGTTCTAGACAACAGGCACTAAGATGATGTGGAGTCCACCATGTATCTTCTGGCTCAAGGGATGTGGGACCAGGTGACCCTGAGGGTTCTGTACCAAGCCACGACCCACATCCTGGAGGCAGAGGTTGGCATATTGGGGTGTGATTCCTGTGGCCCCTGTAGGACCTGCTGCTGCTCTGGGTCCTACAAGCTCTGCTTAAATAAAACTGGCTTATTGGAAAGGTTGTTTTGCCCACTTCAAGTGACAGAAACTCAATTTAAATTGGCTTCATCTCACTGGGGAGAGGAGTTCAGGCATGGCTGGATCCAGGGACCTCCAACACCACAGGGAATCGCGGCTGCCCTTCTTGGCTCTGTGTCGCACTGGGTTGGCCTCTCCCTGGCCCTCAGCAAGAGTCCACTGCAGCTTCAGGCTCACACCCTTCCAGCCCAGGCAGGAAGGGGGTGTCCCTTTCCTCATAAACGTCCTAGAGCCCGTTTCTCCTATTTTGCGGAGTGTCGGAGTGCCTCACTAATTGGCAGCATGCCTGGGTCAGTGCCTGCTCCTGGGGTCACAAGGGCCGGAAGTGTAGGAGGTGATTCTCCAAAGGAATATATGGTGCTGGGAACAGAAGGAGGGACACCAGCCACAAGCAGGGGCTGCCTTCATTGTCCAGTCCAGAGAAGGCAGGGCTCTGCCCCGCTGCTCAGCACGCAGGCCCTGGAACCTTGCTCACCTAGGACTGAGTCCCAACGCTGTGGGGCTACGTGACCCTGAGAAAGTCACGTCCTGTCCTCCAGCCTCACAGCATCATAGCGGGCAGCCAAGAAGACACCTCAGGCACCCACCCTGGGCCACCACCTGTTACACAGGCCACCACCTGTTACAACCACCCATGGCTCCCTGAGGCCATAGGACTCAGTTCAGGTGTGTTGGCCTGGGTTCTGGAGCCCTCCCCACATGCGTGTCACAGCCCACCATGTGCCAGACCCTGTCCTCCACAACCTGGCTGGAATCTGTAGAACCGAGGTCTGTGCCCATTTGACAGACAAGAAAACAGAGGCACGAGGGGTCACAGGGCCTGGCACATGGGGTGCTTATGTACTGGTTGCCTATTTCTGCTGTAGCAGGTTGGCACAAACTGGGTGGCTTAAAACAACACAAGTTGTTTTGTTTTTGTTTTTTGAGATGGGGTCTTGCTAGGTTTCCCAGGCTGGACCAGAACCCCTGGGCTTGAGTGACCTTCCCACCTCCACCTCCCGAGTTGCTGGGACTACAGCAATGCGCCCCTATGCCTGGCACAGGTTTTTTTCTCTTATAGGTCTGGAGGTCAGAAGCCCAACTTGCATCTCACTGGGGGAAATCGAGGCAAAGCTGTGTGCCTCCAGGGGAAGGTCTGTCCTGTTCCTCTCCCAGTGTCCAGCGGCCACCCGTGTCCCTCGGCTCAAGGCCCTTCCTCCCCCTCCAGAGCCAGCAGCGCAGCGTCTTCCAGTCTCTCTGCCCCGCCCCTCCCGCCCCTCGTGGGAGGACCCTGTGCTGACACTGCGCCGCTGGGTCATCCAGGGTCTTGTCCCAACCGACAGTCCTTAACTCAATCCTATCTGCAGAGTCCCTTTTAGCCACAGAGGGTGACAGACCCTCAGGTTCCAGGGATTAGCCTGGCCATCTCTGGGGCTGTTATTCCACCATACGCCATGGAGCTGCGCTTTCTCTCACTTGCAGCACAAACATCCTGTCACCTCCCAGCACACACCCCCGACATCCAGTGCAATGTTCAAGTCTCACTGCCTGTTTGTTTACCTGTCGGGTCTGAGACGGGGACAAGCAGCCTGACAGCAGAGGCCACGGGGAGTCATGGTGGGTGTTTGAGCTGGGGAGGAGTCTTACAGCAGCTGGGGCAGGAAGTGGGCTGCAGGGGTGAGGCTGAGGCTGTGTCAGGGTGAAGAGGAAGGCAGGGTCAGGAAGGGGTGGGGTGGGGAGTCTGTCACTGGGAAGAGGGGGCTCCCCAGAAAGGGTCGGTGACTTGCTTGAGGTAACCCAGCACATGGCCTCTGGGTTAGGGAGGAACACTGAACCCGGGAGCAGGAAGCCATTGGCAGCTGGCCTCGGTTTCCCCGGAGAGGCCCCGAACCCACGCCAGCCAGACAATGTCCCTTTGATTTGCACAGCCCGGCCAGAGTGTCCAAGCCACAGCAAGGTCAGGTCTCGGCCAAGGTCACAGTGTCCAGTCCGGGTACACCCTCAGGAGAACACAGGGTCCCGTCCCTGCCCTAGTCCCCAACCCAGGGAGAATCCCCGGGGACTGCCAGAGGCCAAGGCCAGGTCAAGACAGTGGGTGTCCTCCCTCAGTGCCACGAGGGCAGCAACTTGGCCCCTGGCCACCAGCCGGGAGACACGAGCCAGGCTGGGCAGCTGAGATCAGGAAGGGTCTAGGTGTGGCTTCTACTGGTGGGAGAGGAGGCGCCGGGCTGTGTTGCTCCAGGGAGCCTCAGTTTCCACACCTCAGGGTGATGCAGGAATGGGGAGACCAGGCATAGGCACCCCCTGGAGATGCTCACTAGCTCCCCATGACCTCAACCTTTACTTCCATGAAGGCATTTACCGCTCTTTGAAGTTATGGATTAATTTGTTTGTCTACACATCTTGTTGTCTATGGCCCCTCCTAACCACCAGCTTTAC